ATTATTATTTACAACCACAATTATAGTAAATGATATCAAGTTAATTTAAACAAGTTAATTTTATCCACAAGACAATTTGCAACAATGATTTTTTTGCACAATGCAAAAAATATAGCTGTGTAAAATTGCCAGATGAAACAATTTTWAATTGCAATATTGAATTGACAAGTATTTCGCAGCTGTACATGAAAAATTGCCCTTGTAAATATTATTGTCTCTCGTTATCTCTCCCACCACCTTTGTAATATTATCTCTGTTGTTAAAGTGCTTGGTATGTTTTTGTAAGCCAGACAACTTCTAGGTGTTCAGAGTTATGGCTCTAAACAAAAATTTGTTGTAAATTAGATGGAAAATATGTTGTATTTTCCACTGGCTGAGGAACGAAATAAGTGGAAAATGTTTTCTCACACCACTGGAGCCTGGGCCGAGGGATATTAGTCACGTGGTCAGTGTTTTCATCAGTTGCTTTTTCGCTGTCCGCCATGACTGTTAGTTAGCCCCACAGTACCCCCCCAACCCTAGGCCAGCATTAATGGAAGGACTTTAGAGTAGTTTTTCATGGAAACCATGTTGCAATGATAAGAATGATGTATTACAGTAATGCATATGTTGAATTATTCAGAAATAAAGAAGTCAGCTGGCGGCAGTCAGCTGGACAATAGCTCCCAGTGGTGTGTGAGAAGAGTTATCTGTGTCACAGGAACATTAAAATGCACTCTAAAAATAATACGAATTTTCCCCTCTAATTCCTTCAGATGTTGGCTTACTGGAAGAAATATGAAAAGGTGGAAAAAGAACACAGAAAAAGAGCTGARAAGGAAGCCATGGAACAGAGGAAGATGGATGATGAACTACGAGAGGTAAGAAAATGGGACAAATAAATAAAAGTGAATAATAAACAAATGAATAAATGAAACCTTTCATACTATTCATAATTTTGAACAATTTCGCGTTTTAAGATGGTACAGTTGATTAAATGTGGGTTTTATTATGTTCAACATTTCGTGTGTGTTCCTTTCCAGGCTCGCCGACAGCAAAGAAAGCTGAACTTCCTTATCACCCAAACGGAACTATATGCTCACTTCATGAGCAAGAAACTGAAGAGTGAGTAAAAATCTCTACCACAACACTGAACCCTTCAACAGAAGAGAATTACTGTAGTACCATGGCAATGGACTTTAAGCCCCCCATCCCYACYCCMAAGGTTTCCTAATTTTCACTTTCTGTTACATCATTGCTGCCATGTTGGTGGTATTTAATAAAAGATTAYCATTAGCTTCCTTTGTTTTTTACCCCCAACATGGCCGCCATATYGTCATTAATAACTCTCTTGGAAACAGAGACGAAAAATGGAATCCTAGAATGTAACATATGTGTCAATAGGATATTTGAAGGGTTAAGAGAGGAAACAGTTGATCATTAACGAAGTGCACTGGCCCATTGCCAGCGGGTCAGTGTCCACTGGTAGAACGAAGCTTGGGATTGGACAAAATAACAAAAACAAAGAAAGCAGGGATTATGGTGAACAATGTGTATTGTTCTACATGTGAGCTGTGTTCTTTGTTTTATCTCACCATTCTTTGTTCATCCACTCCCAGGCTTCGTTCTGCCGGTTGTGGATTACCCTTGCCGGCTGGATAACCCTCGTAGTCACCAATARTCCTGTTAGGATAAACTAATACAGAGCTTTGCAACATCACATGGTGGTGGCCATGACAGGAGTCCTTTTTCCCTGGGAAACTTTATTCTTTCTCATGCAAATCAGATTAGACCAGATTCAATTGTTCCTGCCTCCTGTCATGGCTGCATTCATGTGCAAAACCTCTAATGCCTTGTTAAAGTTTAATGTTTCTGGTTTTATCCAGATGCAAAAAATGCAAAATCAGAAGAGGTTCAGAACATCCTGAAAAAGCTTGACGAACCATCCTCAAGTCACATGGTCAAAACAGTACAGGGAGGAGTTGTGTTTGACATTGAAAATGATGATAATTATGGTGAGTTTAAGGTATTATTTATATGCTTTAATTTGAAAAAACTGTTGATGACTAGCGGTTATGCTCAGAGTGGTTACACCAGTGGGACGTAGGTGTGTTAAATTCAACAGTAAAAAGGAAACTTAAATACCATTTAGAGTTCAGGACGTGCTAACATTTCAAAGAGTTACAGTAGGATTTTATTTTGTTATTGCTGACTTAGATAAACTCATGTCGTACATTGAGCATCTTCAAGCTAATTTCGATTTTCAACCTACATTTTGCYAATTAATTTGTGGGAATTTAAACCCTGATTTCGGACCTTAGTTCTTCGTCAGAGTAGAATTTACTTGTGATCTAGGAAATTAATGAAGAGGCAGGCCTAGGCAACAGGAAACATTGCTCAGATTATTCTAAGGAAAAAACAAGAACCATATATCACCTAAGATTTGAAAATTGGAGAGCTATTAATGATTACTTTTGTGTGCATGTGTGAATTTTTCAATTCTCTTTTTTTTCTATTTCCAGATGCGAAGGCCATGAAAATGGAAGCACTAGCGAACGCACAAAATGCATTGAAAGAACAAGAAGCAAGGGTATGTTTGCATATACTAAATGAATATTGATACGACCACTTGGAAGGTGCACGTGTAGCACAGTAATATGAACACTATTATACTGGAAATAAAACATGAAATTAACATAACAATAGATATCCCACAATTCCTTGGGATGCATGAATTAGTCACTCCTTCCACAGGGAGCCCAATTTAGAGTATATTTACATAAGATCGGCATTAGATACCATAGGGTATGTAGGATTCAAAATTTATTTACACACTTTAAATAGAAATGAATATAACAAATCATATAATTGTTTATATTTACAAAATATAAACAATAATATGATAGGAAAACAAAGGGGCTTGTGAAAAAAATAATGTTCTAGTGCATTTTTTGTGGATTTTTTAACTCTTTCGTATTACGGAGGTCATTATCTTGACCTCAAATTTAAATTCTGATTTTATTTTCACCATTCACTTTAATCTAAATTGGGCTCCCTATGCTCTTTCCTGCATGACATTTGTTCCAATGATATCTAGATTGTGAATAACCCACCCACCCAACCCCAGACATGATAAGGTGTGCGATGCTGCAGTACATGTAAATGTACAGTGTTCACTCTCGTGGACAACAGCTATTTTTCAGCTACTCCATATCTCATATATTCATGTGTATTGTAGGTACTAAAAATATGTTCTASATTCCATAGTGTCCCTACCCCATTAGAACCCTCTTTTTTGAAGATTAAAACTCAACRTAAAGTCTATTGCTTCTATTCCTCAGACCCAAGCATTTGATTCAAGTGTYGAGCAAGAGTATGGTATCAGTAAGAAAATTGCTTTATCACAAGAATCATGTAAGCATACCATGAATTTCTTCTATATTTTAAGCTTTGTTAGTTCTTCTTTTCTTTTGGAGAGYATGTTTTTACTACAGGGCCCACAGCAATAATTCCAATCATTCATCTCCAATGTTTCCTGTTTCCTTCCATCAAAATTTAGCTCACTGTTGCTTTAAAAGTTGCGATTTGCCTCATATAAATTATTTATTATACCATCAAATCATTACTATTTTTAATAATTGTACAGTTGATGAAAACTTTAGTCTGGCCAACCCTAATCTCACTGCTGACCTTCCTCAACCAAAGCTCTTTCAGGGATTACTAAAAACATATCAGCTGAAGGTGAGTAGAGTATTTCAAGGTACAAGAAACAATTTGAATAAAGCTAGTCTGTTGTCAATTAAACAGTGTGTAGCTGCAATGAAAACAGGCACAAGTCTATTCACCTTTCCAGAGTAATTTTGATATTTTTTGTCACCAGGGAATGAATTGGCTGATTACTTTATATGAGCAGGTAATGTATTATCTTGTGAGATAATTCACTGGGTACATAGGAACCTCTCCCATCCCCCTCCCCACCCTCCTTCTCCTCTCCCCAAGCTCTTCACCCCTCCCCTCCCCAACCTCTTTACCTCTCCCCTCCCCTGACCTCCTCATTCATCCCCTGACCTCCTCTTCCCTCCCCTGACCTCTTCACCCCTCCCCTGACCTCCTTACCCCTCCCCTCCCCTAGTCTCCTCACCCCTCCTCTCACCTGACCTAATCACCCCTCCCTCCCTCTCTCCTGTGCTGCAATGCCTTAAAACACCTTTTTGTATTTCTTCTTGTGTCTTATTGTAAGCCAGTGTTGGATCAGGGATGATATTTTACTGGTTACTCATGCCTTYATCCCACCCAAGAAAACATAAATAACTTCTGAGGTCCTCTCCTTGTGCTTTGACCTTATTGTGGGATTGATGAGAGAAACCACAGCAACTGTATTTTTCTTTGTTTCAGGGAGTAAGGGTTTCATAACAATCATGTCGGTAAAATATGGATCTTATCGCTGACTTTTGATTTGTTTTACAGGGTATCAATGGGATTCTTGCTGATGAGATGGGACTAGGCAAGACTGTACAGTCTATAGCATTCTTGTCATATCTGGCTGAGGTACAAATATTGTAATGGTTTTAATTTTGTCCATTGTATCTTGACAATTAATTATCAAAACTTTAGGGGGGACACTTCCACCCCCCGTGCCCCACCCTCCCTAGTGCTATAGAATGTCTTTTTTCTGTTGGTCAGTCTTCCTAACTTTCTGTCTGTTTGCCTGCCTGCCTGCTATCCTGCCGTTAGAGTTCCAAGATTTAAAATGTTCTCGTATGTGTATTTATAGGTCCATCATATCTGGGGTCCATTTCTCGTCGTTGCTCCAGCATCTACACTCCACAACTGGCAACAAGAAGTAGCAAGGTTTATACCTCACTTCAAGGTACTTAAATGTAGAATAACAAGGATATGTAAATATTTCAAAACTTTTTCTTGTAATGATTAAAGTTTTCTACTGGGGTGTAAGGCCCATTTATACTCTGCTCCACTCATCTGCTGCACCTAATTGGTGAAATAAGTACTGCAAAAGAGCGTCGTATAAATCAGCTGCTTGTCCAGTGTCCCATAATCCAGCCAGCTCTGCCAAACTTAACGTGTTTGCTTTACCAAATTCAAATTAGACGTACTTAATTTATTAATTTCTTTCAGTACAATGTACCTAATTCAGTTTAGTTATCCATCTGAATCACAGTTGCTCCAAAATTATTTAGAGTTGAACCTGGTTATATTASGTTCGACACATGAGTACAGCAGCATATGGAACGGGTGTAAGAATCCCGATACCCCTAATAGTTGTCAGTCATATAACATTTTTTTGTTGTTGTCCAACAGGTCCTTCCTTACTGGGGTAATCAAAGTGATAGAAARTCTCTCAGGAAATTCTGGAGCCAGGTGAGCTATTGTAGATGGAATTTCAGATCACAAAATGAGCAAGCCGGAGAAGATAAAAATCATGGCCATATTTTTTTGTTACAGCGTGGCTACTCAACCAAGGCCACACAAACAAATTTTTCATAAATTTTGTAGTTCCAAAAATTATCCACACCCCCTCATGGAGGAACTTTCTTAARACACCCCCTACCGCCCGGAAATTCCAATTTTCTTCCATACAAACTCTGTAAATTTTGTTCTTTCTCTAACCCCCCCTACTCTTCGGAAATTCCAAATTCCTCTGTGGGGTCTCAACAACAGACAATGTGTTCAAATTTTATTGTATTATTCTTTGGCCTAAGAATACAATGAAATTGACAAACCGAGGCTAAACCCTGTCCCTAAGGCCTCAACTAAAACCACCTTTCTCGCATTTACCTTTAACTTTATTATATATTGATCTACCTTTTTCTCTTAACAGAAACAAACTCACATCAGTGACAGGAATGAAGCACCTTTCCACCTTCTAATTACAAGTTACCAACTGGTAAATACTCTTAGATATTGTTGTTAAAATTCTTTGTGAACCAAGGAGGATCCCACCCCCTCCTCCCCTCCCCCCCACCCTATCCAATATTCCCCTATTCAGACATCTTTCTTCATCTCTCAACGGTCTTGGTCCATATATTCAAGACCTCAGCACAGTTTTTCCCTATCCTCCTGGCCAGTGTATAACACCTACCTATAAGTAACCATTAAATGTTTTTGWACAGGTTGTGCAAGATGTTCGTTATTTCCAAAGAATAAAGTGGCAGTACATTGTACTTGACGAAGCACAAGCCATCAAGAGTAGTTCAAGGTTATTTTTTATTTTTTCATGTTTTATTAGTTTTCATTTCATTTTCATTTCTTCATCCCAGTTAGACTCAGTGAGAAAGGAGCTACTTTTTTCTTAACTCTAATTTTGATGTTTTCAGTGTTCGATGGAAGATTCTTCTGGGGTATCAATGTAGGAATCGTCTGCTACTGACTGGAACACCCATTCAAAACAGCATGCAAGAGGTAGAGTTAATAAATAGGAATTTATTATAAACAASCTAGTTACCATATTTCTTTTATTAAGCCCCCAGCCTTTAATTAGCCCCACCTTCCAATAATCCCAAGAAATTAAGCCCTCTCTAACAAGCCCCACCCAAAAGGAACATTGTGATCCTTTTCCCTTGGCAGGCTTTTGAAACTCATTTCACCTGTCAAGATTATGAAACAAAGTAATTATGAATTTCCAAAGATTAGGAAAATTATTAAGCCCCCAACTTCTAATCGGTCCCCCTTCTAAATAATCTTCCAGTTTCTCCAAGATGACGGTTTTTTGTCCCCTAAAACGGCCCAAAAATGCACTGCACCTCCAACTAAACCCAGTTTTTTCCGAGGCYATAGAATGGCTACTTGGGATGCAATAATATGCAAGAGGTGTGTTGTTTTCTGTTCCAGTTGTGGGCTTTACTTCACTTCATTATGCCAACATTGTTTGACTCTCATGAAGAATTCAATGAATGGTTCTCTAAGGACATTGAGAGCCATGCAGAGAACAAGTCCATTATAGACCAAAGTGAGTACCACAATAAAACAACAGAAARCCATGGGTTTGAATCCTTCCTGGAGCTTCAAATTTTTTTTACAAAAACAAATTTGCTTGTTGAAACAGAAAATGAAATAGAAAATTGTGTTTCTTSCACCTATATTTACAAATAAGTTTTTAGCCAACCTTTCACACAACTAGTGCATCAAGAAAACAATGGCTAGTGAGACAGTGTACATTGACTAGAAAAAAAA